TATATATATATATATATATATATATATATATGTATGTGTATATATGTATATGTATATATATGTATATGTGTGTGTGTATGTGAGTGTGTGTATGTATAGATAGATAGATATTAAATATTATTATTAAATAAGATAAATATTACTATTTTATTGCTAAATTTGTTAACATTTTAAATGTGTTTTGTATTTTAATATTTTGTTTATTGTAGTTTATTCCTTTGGTGCAAAGCTGAATTTTCAGCATTATTACTCCAGTCTTCAGTGTCACATGATCATTCAGAAATCATTCTAATATGCTCGAGAAACATTTTTGATTATCAATGTTGAAAGCAGTTATTCTACTTAATATTTGTAGAAACCGTGATAGAAACCATATTCCATATCCAACTTTTTTTTTTCAGGATTCTTTAAATGGGTAAATTGAAAATTCAAAAGAAGAGCATTTATTTGAAATAGGAATCTTTAGTAACATTTTAAATATCTTTGTTACTTCAATTTATTGTGTTCTTTCCAAACTTTAAAAAAAAAATCATACCCTATACCTTTGAACTATAGTGTATATTTATATAAATATGTATATGAAAGATATGAATCAACTGAAATTCTCACCAGTAATATCAAAGCCCTGAATCCAATCACGTCTGATGGTTAAAATCAAGTCCTGCCTTACATCTCTCTATATATTATATTTATATTAATATTATATTAATATTAATAATATTCTGTTTCATTCTGAAATAAGTCAAAATACATGAGATGCTGGTTCAAAATGGCCAATTTTGACTGGTTGAAGGTTTTCAGAGCAACGCAAAATGCATATACACACAACTCATGATTGCTGAGTTACTGAAGTAAACTCAATCTCTCTCTTCTTTCCTCTTCCCCATGCAGTGGGATTGGCAGAAACTGGCCATGGGCGTCAGGAGGAAGCAGTATTCTTGCCGAATACGGGACGCTGCATTTGGAGTTCATGCATCTCAGCGAGCTTTCCGGGAGACCAGTTTTTGCCGAGAAGGTGAGCAGCCGTTCAGGCGTTACACCTCTGCAGTGCATTAAACACCACACTGAACTAAAAGTGAACTTGGAGGAGCGGCGGTCGTGAACTGTTCGAAGAGCTGACCAACAGTGACCCAGGATGACCTCTGCTCGTAACCGTTATATTGATGCTTGTTTCGCTGCAATTCTCAGATCTGATTCTCTCCGAATTAATCCGCTGACCTGACCTGCAATATAGACACAGACAAATGACACTATTACAAGCTCTGAATGAGGCTGTACAAACTGTGAAAGTGACCTAGTCTGTAGATTTATGAGTCCTGTCCCCTGTAGGAAGACATCGGTCGCATCAAAAAGGCTGTTTACTGCATTTTCCATGGCGTACTGTATTGGATGAGCTTAGCTATGGCTTAATAATTTGACGTGATTATATAAGAGATGCGTTCTCTGCCGTTGCAGGTAATGAACATCAGAAAGGTGCTGAATCGACTGGACAAACCTCAAGGGTTGTACCCGAATTATCTGAACCCTAACAGTGGACAGTGGGGCCAGCGTAAGTCCACAAACACACGCACACATACTGAAGAACTTCAGGAGAATTCATAGAAATGTAATATTCTAAAGAAGTTTTCCCAGAAATGTCATGATTAAAGGGGTCATATGACGTTGCTAAAAAAAACATTATTTGGTGTATTTGGTGTAATGAAATGTGTTTATGCGGTTTAAGGTTCAAAAAACACATTATTTTCCACATACTGTACATTATTGTTTCTCCTCTATGCCCCGCCTTTCTGAAACGCGTCGATTTTTATGGACGAGTCTTAACTTTTATAAAGAAAATCTCTTTGGGTTTGAGACTTTAGTCTTTGCAACTTTAGGGATCTTATCTATTCACGAACAGCTTGTAACACTCCAAAGAGAAAGGAAACCTTGAAATCGCATCATATGACCCCTTTAAAATGAGCGTCTTTATCCACAAGTTGTCCAGCAAAATGCTTTCTCTGAGTGGAATTGATTTACAAGTGTTTCTCTTAGAGATCTGATTTGTACACAAAACACTCTTGTGGTGACACTCAAAGGCAGATTCAAGAGAATATTTGTAGTGGATTGACAGAGCTAAACTTTAGGACATGATGCATGTTTTTGGTGCTGATTTATTATGTATTTATAAATTTATGGTGTTGAATTTAGCAGGGAGGCACCCTGAGACACACACACACACACACACTGGCTGTTTGTTGAGTCCGTAACACTAGCAGAGACCATCAAGACACATTCTCTTTAGGGTCTCTAAATTAAGGGAATACTTCCAAAAAAATGAAAAAGTGATATAGTTTTGATATGAGTTTTGAATATCGACTGTCGGAACCTTTTATATAATACCTTTATGTAATGATATAATTATTACTTTTTATATTCTTTGTTTTTAAAATTTATATATATATGTGTATGTATATGTATGCGTATATATGTACATGTATGTATATATATGTGACGTGTATATATATATGTGTGTGTGTGTATATATGTATAATATATATAATAAATAATTTATATATTTATATATATACAGTATAATTCTTTTTTTTATATTTTTAGTTTATATATAAAAAATATAATGTAAAATAACTAACCACAGTTTGTAAGTGTAAAATACCTGAGGGCAAAGCAGAACATAGTTTTCTTGCAACTGAGTTTCTTTCAAAACTTTAAAACTTTGGCAAAACTAGCGACAATTTATTTCTATAGGAGCCTGGGAACATTTAACCATGACTTTGCTCGCCAGCAGACTGATAGAAACTTTGCGTCTCCATTTGGAGTTGCCGATTACAGCCAGCCTTTGACATTTTTGGGTGTGATCTGGAGCAGACGGTCTGTGGGCATACCATATGAGACTGAGGCTAGACCGCTGGCAACCCTGACACTGTCAATGAACTTTCTCACCACATCTGTCTTCATTGTGCTTTCAGGGTTAATTACGCAACACCGGCAGAAATATACACACTCTTTTCCTTACGTTCATCCTCTAAATGACACACACATCAGTAGTTTGGGATGTTTTATGCTGGTCCCGCAGCAGTGAGGCCTGCTCTGCCGCGTTAGCCGGCTTTCGTGCCATCCTCGCTCCGAGGGATTTATATTGCCGGCTTAGCGTGGAGAGCAGTATTGTCTCAACTTCATGGTCAGCAATGACGCAGGCGCTTGATGATGAAGAGCCAGAGGAGAACAAAGATTCTGCAGTGTGTGTAGTCGGGATAACACAAGCGCATGAATTCTGATGGAACAGAGCAAAAAAAAGAGAGAGGCTTTTGAGCTGTCAGAATGTAGCAATCCGAAAACCAGTTTTCTTTTTTTGTGCATCGGAGCAAGTCCTTTTTTTTCGCTTTGACAAAAGTCGTTTGTTTAGACGATCGTAAACAAAAATGATCTGAGATGGCAGCAGGCCGCAGGGAAGATGGGATGATAACGTACGGCTGCACTTAAAAATAGCTGTCAGTCTTTTTGCCTCACACAAGTAGCCCAGAACAGTCCTGAAGGGCTTTCCATATGGGTCAGTTGTCATGTTTGGGTTTGAGCAGCTAGTAGCTCAAGGGGTGACCTTAATGAAACAACAACATGAATCAACCATCTTACATATTCGACAGTCTACCCTCCTTTTACCCTTCCTCACATTTATCTTCTTTTCTTTTCTCATCGTCGTACATCAAACTTAGTTTTACATTGTCAGAAATTCTCGTTTCAAAGCAGACTGTCTCTTTCCAGTTTAGCCTCATATGTGCGACTTGACAGAAGTTCCAAAAGCTAGTAAGCGGTCTTATAAGGTTACATCCTAACAAAATAAGCACATAAGTGAATATGAGCACTTGCAGTAACTTTTTATCTTATTTATTCTAAAGAATTCTTTTTTTTATTTTATATTTCATTTATTCATCTATTAAATTTAGTAATTTTATTTAAATGTAATTAATGAAATTGCTCAAATTTGATTTGTTACAAATTCATTCAAACATATTATTTGTAAAATTATTAACATAAGTTATAAATATTTTTCATATTTTAATTTTAACAATTTCCTATTATTTATTCTAATGAATGTCATTCACTCAGCCTCATTTTTTTTTTTTTCCAAACCTGTATGACTTTCTTCAGTGGAATAAAAAAACGTTTTTTTTCTTTTCTGTGTGTGTCTGTGTGCATGTGCATACTATAAAAGTCAGTAGTGTCCAGTGTTTTGATTTGACAAAAACAGTTTAGACATCCTTCAAAATATCTTCTTTTGAGTTTCACAGAAGAAAATGTCATACATGTTTGGAATAAATAATAAAATTTGGAGTAAATAATGGCAGAATATTGCCCCCAAAAATGAAAATAAATAAATCAAATAAATTATTTATTTACCATCATGTTATTTTTTTTCTTTTGTTATACACAAAAGAAAGTGATGGTGTGTGCACACCAAAAGCGAATTCAATTATTTGCAGATTACATACAGATTACATACAAAGACACGAATAGACCCAAATTTGCGTGGGGCAATGCAAATTGAGTGATACGAATGCACGGTATTCACCTCAATCGCGTCTTTCACGAAAGTTGAAAATTTTAACTCGAGCGGGAAATTCGCATGGCGCATTGTCACGCCAGCCAATCGGTGAAGAGCTTATTGACACATCCGGTTGTATCAGAAAACGGAGGAGAGCCAAGTGCAATGTTTGTATACGCGTGAGTGATGCGAAAAACATCCCACGAGTTAATCGCTAGTATCCCGATGCGAATATTCGCTTTGCTTTTTGGTGTGCATACACCATTAGGCAGAATATTTGAGCTGATCTTTTCCCTATGAAAAAGTAGTTAGTGATTTGTATTGTCAAGCTCCAGAATGGACAAAAATGTCTCACAGAAATAGTCTATATGCAAGTTTTCTGAAGCCACGTTGCTATGTTGTCACATTGCATTTGTAGCCTCACCCACAGTGAAATCATTTCACATATATTTGTATAAACATTGAATATGTTCTGATTGGCTGTAATTTAGTCACTTTGAATTTTGCTTTTGGTGAGGACTTACTGAGTTGTGACTATGGATGAAATGTGGGGCTATGAGCATCCGACATGCATGAGGTCTGTTTCATGGCTGCTCTATGTGCTTTAGTGCTGCACAGAAAGGCTTCACATTTTCTCAGTGTCTGTTGGGTAAAAAGCTCAGCTGGTCTTCAGGTTTTTCTCAGGGAGCACTGCCGGAGCTGACAGCAAAACTCCTGTTTCCTGCTGTCAAGCTTTTGCCAACAGAAAACCTCACAGGTCCTTTGCACAATGAAGCCCTCTTACCACCAACACGGGCGAAATTTGGAGTTTATGTGTGGTGTGTGTGAACCGTTATTACGACAGTGGGGAAGAGTCATCTTATGTGACTCAGAAGTTAAATCAGGTAGTGCAGAGGTGCTCAAAGTCTGGCCCACGGGCAAATCCAGTCTGCCACGAGTTTATCAATGACCTCCTGCTAAAGTCTTTTTAAGACTTTTTTTTTTCATGAATTCAATCGCTGCTTCTGTGTCTGCACTGCAAGAGAATGAAAAGACCTCTCCCATTATAATCCTCTTGTCAAAGTCACCGGAGTGATCTAGTTTTGTTGTCACTTTGCTTGCAGTGCAGACTTTTATTTTAACATTGTATTTTTAGTGCATTTTTATTTAAATTACACTACCATTGAAAAGTGTGGTCAGTATTATTTTTATTTTTATTAAAATAAATATTAAAAATAATTTAAAAAAAAATTTGCAGGGATACATTGAAGTGAAATAAAGGCTTTTATATTGCTACAAAAATGAATATTTCAAATAAATAGTTAATTATCAAATCAAAAACTTGTCATGTGACACTAAAGACTGGAGAAATGGCTGCTGAAAATTCAGCTTTGCCATCATAGGAATAAATTACATTTTAAAAATTTAATAAAATAGAAAACATTTATTTTTAAATTGTAATAATATTTCATAATATTATTGTTTTTACTGCATTTTTGATCATATGAATACAGCCATGGTGAGTATAAGACACTTCTCTCAATCTTACTGACCTCAGCCTTTTAAATGTACTTTTAATTGATAACCATATTCATTCACAGAAGGTTTCTAAATTCATTAAGTCTTATTTCATTTTAATAATTGTGAAGCCGAGAATTAGAATATGCAAATACTGTCATCATGATTGGTTCATAAGGATAGACCTTTTACAGCATGTTCAAATGTGTGCGTTTCATTTAGTAACCTAAAATTAAATAACACGTATAATTTGTAACAACTGATGCATCCAATTAGAATGAGATGGTGCCATTATGGATTTTACCGGGGAATTATCGATGAAAGTTTCTTGAATATTAAGTCGTGATATATTTGTGAAGGCTGAAGACATTTAAAGATAAACCATTAACAAACTGACAGCGTTTTTGAAGTCGTAAGAATTATTAATGCTTTTGTATGAAAGAAACTTTTTTTTTGTTGTTGTTAATTCACTTTGACTACATTGTTCTGGGAAATGAAAAGGCTCTGACCAGCACTTATGATTGGATATAAATACAAGGCTGATGTAGCTGTAATTGTTACTGCATGCTTTAAAACCATATGAAAGTCAAGGATCGGCTATTAGCAGGTCATTTTATTCAATGGCCCCTGGTGCGCATTTTGGCCCATGAGCTGCATAATTCGAGTATCCCAGAGGAAGATTAACAAAAATGTGCCTAATTCAGAAATTTAGCTGAGTGCTACTGCTAACAGACAAAATGGGTAGCATAAAAGCCCCTTTGACATTTGAAATAAGACTTTAAACTAAAGCAAAATGCTTGTTTTTCCTTTCTGTGCATTTTCTCTGAATAGTAGCATGGCAGTTTATTTATTTTTTACGGTTGTCTGAACTGACACTTGATTTCTCTTGCCGTATCTATCACAAAAACAAGTGCTTAATGAGGTATAGATATTCATGAGCTTGATCATCAATCAGACAATCACACAACAGTGCTGCTCCTCGAGCCACAAATTCTCATCTCTCACACACAGTGGACCGGACAGCACTGAACGCACTGCCCCATTCACACGCCACCTGGAAACACACACACACACGTTTCATTTCTCCTTACACACACAGACCTGACTGAAGGATTTTACTAGATAAAGCATACACAGCACATAATTCAGATATCAAATCAGGGCTGTACAGTGCGACATATTTGTCGCACGTGCTACGAAAAAACTGGTCTGTGCGATGAATAAATTTACCACTGTAGCACGCGTGCGATACAGTTTTGCATGTTCATAACACAGCTGCTTAATAGTGTTAAGTGATTTCGTTGTGCTTGTTTGTGTGTGTGAGATTGATTATACTTGGTAGTTAGGGGTGTGCAATATGATGATTTTTGATCGTGGACGATTAAAATGTCTCCACGATCTGCTTTTGAAGAAATATAATTGTCTGTAGCACCAGTGCTATGTGAAAAAAAAGTTAACGTACAGCCCTGCAAATGAATGCTTATATGTGATCTTAGTGGTTAAAGATCATGTAACCCAAACTTTGTAGGTTTAGATACTAAAATCTCATTTAAATGATTTATGTGCACAATTACAGTAGAAAAATGTACTACATTTCACTTTTTGTATGAAGATTTGTTTGTATTCTTTGATTCATTCAGAACTCATTTAAGGATATTTTTGTAATGAAATATCTTTCAGTGTTGGCATTGCTTTAAGCAATAATGTTCCCTGATTACTACTGCTGCTCTTTTGACATGTGTTGTGAATGTGAAGCACTCCAGGTTCGCTTTTTGACATTTGCACAATTCAATTCCAGCATTTGTTACCATACTGTAAGAATCGCTGAGATGAGAGCGTCTCTCTAAATCTCTCGTACTGCGTGATTGTTTGTGTGTGTGCTCCATAAATTGTGTTATTCTGTTTAAAGCAGACTATTGTGCTGGCACATGAATGTAGGAAGAGGTTTTTCCACACACTCTGCTGTTTTCGCTGTGTTGCAGATCATGTCTCGGTTGGAGGCTTGGGGGACAGTTTCTACGAGTACCTGCTGAAGGCCTGGCTCATGTCAGACAAAACTGACGAGGAGGGAAAGAAGCTTTACTACGACGCCCTGCAGGTAAAGTCCAGTGCTACAGAGAGAGAAAAAGCCCAGAGAAATGTTACACTCTACTGGTCATTTGATCAAATGCTGACTAGACAAGAGCATCCTTGTTTTTTGAGGAGACCTGCAAGCTAAAGTGACTTGTGTCTGCAAAATAGTGAGGATACAGACTACTTCAGTGTCCAATAGGAACTGAGTACCAACACAGTCTCGAGTTGATACCAGGGTTGAGTGAATTTGAGAATTGGGTCTCTTTCAGTTCATGAATGTGAATTCTAATTTGATGTGTCCACATCCTGCAGGATGTTGAATTGAAATGACAAGTGGAATTTACTAAATTGCAGTTCATTCGAAGATAGGACATATATTAGACAAATAAAACATAATTACATAATTAGTTTTGACTAATTATGCCTATTTATTTCCTGAATACCTTTTTTTAGGTTTGACAGTTATTCTAAACTGAGTCCAGTATTGTCAAAACAATTAATACACAAATGAATCACTAATTTTAATTTTCACACATTATTTTCAGATAACTAAAATAAATGTAAAAAAAAAAATAAGTAAGTCTGGTGAATACACATTGAAGTTTGGCTGTTTTAAAGAGTAAAGTAGTACAATCTAGAAGATTACCATAAAATCAAAGTTATTTTATTAAATATAATGCAAAAAAATGCTATTTATTTAATTACTGTTAAAACTGTAAGGTTTGTTATTTTTTAGTTATACACCATTAAATTCACATTTAAATTGCAATTCTGTACCCTGTTTGCCTATTCAAATTCAATTCTCAAGGGTTTTATTTTTATTTTTTATTTCCACAATATGGTGCACAATATGAATGAATTTGTAGAGAATAAATTTTTAACCTCACAGCTTATTTATCATTCACAAATTAAATTTAACATAGTCAGACTAAAGTTTATTAACTAGAATAACGGAAGTGGTTGTTCTGTAGGTTTGTATGTTTTTCGCCCTCAAGTTTCAAGTGTCCAGTTTTTTCCAATGTGAATATTGAAAGTGTTTGCAATTTGTGGTCTGTTGTTCAAGCTTGAGCTAGAAATTGATCCTCTGTGGGTTTTAAGGTTGTGAGTTAGAATTCCTTTTCATAGTGTCCAAATGTAGAAAAGTAAAGTGTGAGTTTGTGTGTGTGTGTGCGCGCGTGTACGTGTACGTGTGTGTAAGCTGCCACCAGCGTTGTTCTGCTGGAGCCGTCCGTGAGAGCTTTGGAAAGCTGCTGCAGACTGATTGTTACAGACCACAAACTCAATCCTCACTTTCATTAGAGAAGACCATCTCAACCTGCCTAAGATAATGCTGTCCCTCTGGCCGCCTGTCTGGGTGCCTCCCTGGAGTGACTCGAACACACACACACACACACACACACACACACACTTTGGACTCCAGGACAATCATCCAGGAAAAGAAAAGTGCATTATGTCGGTCACCTTCAGAGAACGGCCGTTCTGTCCACCATTCTACCCAGGCATTCATTACAGCTACAGAGAGCTCTTTATCAGGCCTTTAACTCTCTCTGTACAGCCTGATTTACACTAATTTATCTCACTAACCATGGATAGGCCGCTCAATCATCTCCTTTCATCCACAACTCTCAGCTGTAGCATTCGATTATTTGCACCACTGGGAAAAATAAGGACATTATGGCAACGACCGTTGACATATCGCAGCAGATTGAGTTCAGTTTGTTAGAGCAATGCTAAATACTCAAGTTTTCATTTTTGTTGCAAACAGTGTTGGGGAAGCTGCTTTGCAACTGGCTTTCTGAGCTACAAACTGGCATTCAGGCAACTGATTTCTTATTTGACTTTCCTATATATTTCTAGTTATGGTAAGCTTGAAAAAGTCTACCGATCCTCATTAATGTCATGTGATTTTTTTTATTTGATAAATATTATTTAAACCATTTAAAAAATATTCATTATATATTATTTAAATTATTTATATATAAATGTTTTATTATTTATATACTTCTGTAGTATTTATTACTATATTTTGAAATTGTTTTAATTTAATTTAATTTCAAAAGTTTTAATTTAGTTACAAAAATGATTTTTAATAGCTTTAGTTTAACAATAACAGCACTGATTTCAATCATTTTTACTTTCATTACTTTTTTAGTTCTACAGATTCTTTTTATGCAGAATATTTGAGGTGATCCTGGACTTTAAGGCTTAGTTTTGACGAAAATACCTTACAGTAGTGATTTATCTTTCCCTGTTCTGTGGCAGGAGAGTAGTTTTTCAGTAGCTGTGGTTTCATGTATCACTCCACACTTTTTTTCTTTTGGTTAATAAAATAATTAGAACTCAAATCAATATTTTATGTCCATTGATATGTACACTGGCACAGTAGGTAATACACAGCATAATGAACAGTCGGTCACGATCGCAGTATAAACTCTTCAGAGTGATACAAGATCCAGAATCGAATGCTTGAATCAGAGAGTACATTCTAAGAGAAGATGTTTGATTATTTACTCATCTTACTCTGTAATAAAATTAGACAAAACAAGCATCTATGCTGCTACTTGTTGCCTACATCAGTGCATTATTATATTCAGTCAAGATACTGAAAAAAAAATGTTATGCTTGTGCTGTAACTACTTTTAGTTTCTCCACAACCCTGGTGCCATATTTATGATGAAATAGAAGAACAAAGAGAGTGATGTAAGAAAAAAAGAGCATCAAGCACTATACTTATTGTCTTTACTTTGGTACCATGGTGATGAACGTCTCCAGTTTTCCATTCAAATGCACAGAGGCTTTTTTTCCCAGGCAGATAAGAATCTCATTTCCCATGTGTGCGACGCTTCTGTAAATACACACAACGCTGGCACACACAGCTGTGACCCTGATCTCTGCTATGATCTAACTTACTTCGGGCCTTGAACTGTTCAGATGACGCTTTTGAGAGAATGAAATCACTCCAAAGCCTTGAATGTCTCCCTTTGTGTTAGGCAAACAAAACAAATGCAAACAAGGACAAAGTTCCTTTTAACCCACACAGTATGAATAACCACAGAGAGAAGAAATTGACATTAAAAACCATTTAAAGTGATCTCTTGTTTTCATTCTCTGTTCTGTGTGCAGGCGATTGAGAAGAATTTGATCCGTAAGTCAAGCGGAGGGTTGACGTATATCGCTGAATGGAAAGGCGGACTCCTGGAGCATAAGATGGGTCACCTGACCTGCTTCGCCGGTGGTATGATCGCTTTAGGGGCGGACGGAGGCCCCGATGATAAGACGGGTCACCAGATGGAACTGGCGGCTGAGATCGCCCGCACGTGTCACGAGTCTTACGCCCGGACAAGTGAGTGGGAGAACTGCTTTGAAAATGTTGAAAGAAAAATTTTAAACATTTCTAGCAATAAATAAACAAATGTAAAAATAAATTAATATATATACATTTTTAATCTGTGTGTTAATACATTTTCTAGTTATAGTTAGAAAATTACAGTGCTCTCTGAAAAAAAATAATGTTTTGTATAAAGAAGCCTATTTTTGTACCATTTTATATTTTTCACCCCTTGCCACCCAGTTCAGATTCAGTTATATATATATATATATATATATATATATA